TTCCAGCAAAAAATATATGCCCTTATCCTTGCGCCTGTGCTCCCTTTCATCGGATTTAAATGGTGCCAGGTAAAGCTTAAGGGTTTGAACTGAGCAAAACAAAAATGATGGTGAAATGAAGCCATGGGTATACACGGTAAGACTGATTATGTGCTTGCTACAGATACCTGAGGGCAAAGGTTTGGGTTTTATTCACCTTGCCTGCATCAGGATGCCTCTCAGCTCACATGCATCAGCCTGGGCCTTTGTGGCAGCCCTGAATGATGACTCTCAGTCACTAGCAGTGTTTTCCTTCTCTCCTAGTCCACATGGTTTTTATCCTCCAGTTCCATCCACCATTTCCTGCCTTATTTTCCACTTGGAAGCAGTTCCCCACCTTCCCCAGCCATATCTGCCCGATGTGTCCATGCTCCTTCCACTTTCTCCATCTCGAAACCTCAGCCCTTTCTCCCACATCTCACAAAAGCTGCGTCCTCCTCTCTGCAGGGACAAGCTGTAGGGACAAGCTCCTTTGCTAGCCCTCTCCTCCGCATCTGTATCAGCAGTGCACTTTCCAAGCCTCTTCCTTCCGTGCTCTTTTCTTAGGCTGGGCTCCCTTCTCTGTCTCCCCCCGCCCAGCCACCTCCAGGAAAAACCAGTGCTCGCCCTGCCTCCAGCCTTGGGACACTGACTTCCTCCTCCGCCAGCAGCCGCAGCAGCTTCCTCTGACCGCAGCTGTCCCAGACACTCTGGCTCCGCGGCACACCCTCCACGTGCACAAAAACACCACACCAGGGCTTTGCTTTCTTCTTCAAAAATTTGGCTTAGCTGCGCTGTTGAGGAAACACCTGTAATGCGTGAGGGCCACCATGCCACCGCCAGCATGGACACCCCGGCTGGCTCCGTCAGACATCGTGACCCACCGCCGCGGGTGCCACTGGGGGCTGCAGCATTTGCTCATGTCCTTATGCATCCGTGTGTCCTGTAGGACCATCCTGGTAGTCCAAAGGAGGATTTTTTTTGCAAACGCTATCTGTTGTTTTGCTGCGATGCAGATGCCCTGTGGTTTGCATAGGGCACCAACATTTTAAGTGGATCTGTAGAAAAGCAGCCTTTGTGGGTGGAGGTTTGCGCGAGAGATGGGGCATATTCATCTGCACTTAGTGCCCATGGACCAGATTGACCAAGGGGCCGCAGGGAACCGGCAGGGAGAGATGGAGGCGCATCTCTCCCAGGGGAGCCCTGTTTGCTCAGCTGCCCTCCCAGGCGTCATGACTCAGCCTCCCGCACCATCAGCTTGTGTAACGGAGGGTGAATCCCTCCCTGCAAGCTGCTCCTGTTGGAGCTTGCTTGAAGGTAGGCTGCTCCATGTGGGCAGCCACCCTGGGCAAAGCTGTCAGGGATGGAGACAGGACCTGGCGTCCCCGTGCAACCTTGCCATTGCCACACAGTGGTGAGGCTGCTAACATGAGCGAAGCCTGGGCCACCCCTGGGGGCCTGTGCCTGGTCTGTGCAGATGCCCACGTGGTTGCTGGCAAATGGAAAACCCAGCTCTTAGTGCAGTTCTTGCCTTTGATGCTGCCAGCTCTCAGCCAGCTGTCTGTTTTCAGGTCTCATGAACTCAGCAGGCTTGGAACAAGCTGCAACTTGGCAGAGACATCCAAAGAAAATCCAGATGTTGCAGGAAATGCTGTCAGGCTGGGTCAGCCTAGGACTAATTCAGTGCTAGTAGGGGCCACGGCATGGCTGGCCTCCAGCTTCCCAAATAGAAAGCTACTTTTAATTTCCTGGTGGCTTG